GCCAAAAAGTGAAGGATTTCTTGAAGGAACCAATAAAGAAGGCAATGTTAGCGATCTTTTCACTGATACACATCATCCATTTTGCAATCAAATGCATAATTCTTTCCGAAAAGTGCCACTGTAAATTTTGACTTTGCATACTAATTGCACGCTTCACAGAATGATTCTGCCAATTCGCAGCCGTCTGCATCAACATCCTCATCGTCATCATCTACAAACCTGCACTCCTCTCCACTACCAGTCACTGGTGAAATCTTTTCTTTTATTCAATTTCATTTTCGATTAATTCAACATAATCTTCATGCGATAAACAGTTTTTCGGGCTCGTTCACCCTATTCACCTGCAATTTACGTACAACAGCAGTGACTGAAACATTAGATCTTCAAGCTACCAATGGAATTAATGAAGCTAATTTGTTAGTTAGCAAGTAGCTGATAACGATACGTACATAAATCAAAGTCGTGACGCTATACTATCAACGTTCACTGTTTGCGGTTCAGTAGATTTTGTAAACTTGAGTGCAGTTGAATGAAGCGTGCTCGCATTCAAAACATCCCAGACGACAACGGTTCGTCTTTCAAAAACTGATCATAATATCTGTGGCACGTTCATGTAATTACTCGCACTTTCTTGCAGACAACCACTCGACACACGAGAAGAGCTTAAATGAGTCCGAATGCAAGCAAGATGAATGTGCACATTTATCACCACCAGATTGCACGAAACCTTCATCACTTCAGATTAGACATTTAAAGCCACCGAAACCGGACTATGACGTAAGTTGGTGGTAATCTCTTGATGAAATGCGAACTATTGATAATGATGGTAATAATGAAAGCACTCTCAGTTTGATAAAGATAGTGAATTTCAAGATATTGCAATTATTAATCGCTGAAGAAAAGCGGATTGGTGAACGTCGACGAATAATGTTCTGTGAACGACCGGTTGCTTCATTACTCGGAATGACTGCATCATGCGTTCGTTTTTTGTTCTATTGTTGTCGATGAGCGATATTTCACCGTGAGAAATCTTCAACTATTGACAGTCGCATAAACTTATAATCGATTCGATCGGTGTTAACGATCGATGTTCGATTGGTTGGGTGTAGAACAGGGTGTGTGTTTGAAATGAGGTTTAGTTTGTGGCTTCGGCTCAGGTTGAGACTTAAGGTGAGATCTAGGCTTAGATCGAGGCCTAGGCTTCAGTCTGAGCTCAGCATCGTTTTTTCTTTTGCCGCTATGACAACAATTCTATCGTTTTGTGATTTGTAGCGCGCTGAACGAGCATCTGCTTTTGAACAAAAGTACCAAGTTTCGATATAAAAAATCTTCTCTAAATACTAATCGGTGTTATTGCTATAGCCATTCACTGCCGAAGAAATTCGTCCATTAAGATTTCGTGATTTCCGAAGATCGATCCGAACACATATTTTATTAATTTACGAATGGCTGCGAAACTGGCCTGAATACGAATCGATCAGTAAATTTGATCAGGTTTTGTCATCTTCAGCATCTTTCTTTTCACGTGTATGATTCGAATGAACTTAGCAATCAGTTATTTAATTTTCAATAACGAATCTACTGTTTGAATTCAGTAGTTATTGAATTAATAGTCAAGTTTGAACTGATTCGATCAGATGGAAATGATGCGAATTTATCGGTTGCACTTCCTTTAAGATAACGTTTTTGCGTAAATGCGTTCTGTATCATACGATACTTGATCCATGTTATATAACACTTCAAATTGGATATCCAGACCGATTTGTTATGCAAAATGGTGGTTATGTTGGTACGGATGAAACGTCAACTGAAGGGTGGGAGGATGAAAAAGAAATCTCGGGTATTACCAAACAGAGGTATTTCAATCACCTTTAATCATATCCCGCACATTATCATCACCTGATAAGGCCACACGAAATGCTCTTGTTCTTTTGCATTCGCTTAATCCTGATCCTATGCTTTTTCCTTAAATCCAGCCATCTGCCCTAGACAGTTACAAAGTGCAAAGTCCTGGCTTCATTTTCAGGAATAATTATGTTCAGTTTTTTGAAAATCAAATTTTATATAGACAACAGAGAGTTATTAAAAATGAAAGCACAGAATCTATCGTCCGCTACTTCGTAAGATGATGTCTGAAGTTGTCACTCCGATGTTATCAATGAATATATCATTCGAAGAATTCGTCGCACTCAAAGCATTTGTGTCGTGGCAAGGAGGTTAGTGCCTGCATGTCATTTCAGTCCTTCATTGACGAATGAAACTGATGCATTCAGTTAAGTTCAGATTTGATTCATAACAGCAATCAAAGAAATCACAATAAAATAAAACAATAAATAAAAACTTCCAGCAACAGCCGATATGAGTGATGAAGCAAAACCGGCGATGCGTAGTGCGCTGGATGCTTTATTCCGGAGTTTACATAATCATTATATTACCAATAACACTGAAGTCAGTGAACGTCTCGGCAATATTGTTCTATTGCTTTCATCTGTTTTTGTAAGTTGCATTTTAATATTTCTTTCTCTAAGTGCTTCCCAATGAGCACTTTTCATCGGAGTAACGACGATGAAGTTCCTCCTCTTTGCAGTGATGGGAAACGATAATGCGAGTTGATAAATGACGTTAAAAAAATCCATTCAATTGAAATGTTTAAATCGTTTAGGAACCAAACCAATTTTTTCAATGAATACTCCTCAAATTGAAGTTTTTTCACATCGTTGCTTTTTCATCGGTAATTATGAGAGAAAGACTTGCACTTCANATTCTATCACGATACCAATACGGCTTAAATACAAATAACTAATGGGTGAATGGAACATTTGTACTGCTTTCAATGTTTATGAAATGATTATTGACAGTTCGATACTATTTTAAGCTGTAACCTCAGAACAACGCAGACTGGCAAGATCAAAGTGTGCTTGAACGTGAAAAAACTGCAATAGCTTTAGCATGCAATGTTTTAACCAATAATAACAATAGTTTCCGTACTTTTGATAAACGAACTAAACTTAGTATAATAATAATGAATGTCTTTCAGGCAACTGGTTTGAAGTTCGTTGAAAGTCACCATGAAATAGCGTTCTTTGATTTGTGGCAACTCGACAGCTTATTGATCCAATTACTGAAGTGTAAATGAATGAGAAGTCTTTCAGAAGATAAATTCGTATTTGGACATTACAACGTGCAATTTTAATTTATTGTTGAAATTCCTTCCTCTTATCGATACCTTTCAAAAATCTACTTATTGTACACACACATTTGTATGTATTAAAGTGTTGAAATTTATCGCAACTAAATGAATTTGTTCTGACTTATTACAATACAGGTCATATGAACACTGATTACGATAGCAGTCATAATGCCACAATATCAGCACACATTCCCATCTCAAATGTTCACTCATCACTAAGAGACTCACTCACAGTTATGATTATTTTCCAGACGAAAACGTCAATAAGAAATCACTTCTCGATAACGCGCTTCTGTTTGTTTGCTCATTATTGTGAAATTGTGTGCAAAGTGTCACAGCCTTAACATCCGAGCACGATGGTACAGGTATTCCAAATGAGATCTGTGTCAACCCTCGTGACATTGTCAAAAACGATTCTTGTCAAAAGCAAGTTCTAGTGGGGAATCACTCGAATGGACGGAGGATTGACCGTGAGGTAACCAGCCAAAGCATTGTTTCTAAAATTACTAAACGATACGACTCTGATTCCAATTAATTGTCCCCTGACCACACTTCTGTTATGTTCACACTCTACGCTTGCAGTAAAAATTTATGGTAAGAAGAATTGGATCAATTGAAACGAATTATTACACCATCAACTGCTTGATGAAAACGAACTTGCTTCTGTTCATCATCAATTCGGATCACGGACGAACTGCTGAAACGAATTGTAAACCGAGGCTCCACTGAGTTAATAATGAGTATAAACACAAAAATAATGGTGCATAATAATATATGCAATGGTCATGTTGGTTGTAGCATAACAATAAAAAACCTGACTGTTTCAACAGAGTTGGATAGGGGTCGAAATCAAGCTGGGGACCCGCGAAAGTAGGCGCAAACCTTGTCAATGCTTGGCGGATCCCCGACCCAACCGCAATTCATGCTGTAGTTCAAGCACAAGTTTTGTAGATAGGTCAGTTCAGCAATGAGGTTTGGTATAAAGGATCGCCGAACAGTCAGCTTCAGCTTGACTTTGGATGATCTGACAAGAAACTAATTGTATCTGGTTAGTGCAAATACTTAGAGTTCATATCGTATCCATATCGAGAGTACAAAAACATTTCATTAGACTCTTGTGAACCAAACAAAGAAGTACGACTCGGAAGTAAGCGAGTAAGCTATCGAATGGATTGGCCATGTGTGTTAATTACATTCCACACCTACCTTATCTGATATTAAATCCCTCTTTTTATGATGAATAGAGGCACTGACATGCGCAGAATGCAGAACTTATGATTGGACTGTCTCATATGTTACTATGCTTAATTACACTTTTTTTGAATAAATTAAAAGCAGTGAATAGTTTGTTAGGACATGTCAGCTATAAATAAAATATTATATGACATCAATTACGTTAGAGGTGTGCACTACTTTCCTGTACGATAGAAAAATGCACTACTATCGATAAAACCCATACATAAACAACAAATGTATTCTTTCAACGATTACGACGTGATGTAGAACTGCGATATTCCATACTCATTATCAGTTTAATGTCGAGTCGAAATGGAATATATTTCATTGCAGTTCGAGTCAATACTTCAAGTTATTGTTTGTCAAATTCAACCAACAAACAAACTACTAGATTTTGCGTTGGTGGATTGTTCATTTTGAAGATTTTATATATGCAAGATTTATTTCCTTCGAAAACATTTGCTGTTGTGACGTTGATTAATGTGTAAACGTCACTTCTTCGTACCGCTGTTATCAATATTATCAGTAGTATTATAGTTATCATTATTTACATGTTTTGATTATCAATGCTTACACGTTCATACTTATAAATTACTACCCACTACAGCATTGCCTCCAATATTGTTTTCTATATCCATTGAACTGTTACAAATTCTTCTGTTATTGTGCCATTTCATGCAGAATAGAACGGAACGCTTTGGAAGTTTTCAGAAAATTACTGCACTCTAGTAGAGCATCATAAAATTCCTATAAAAACCTCACCATTTCATTGTGCTTATAAAAATTTCCAATATACCTTCCTAGAACTTGATCATCTAACATAGTGAAAAGATGGAATGAAACATTGTATTTCTCAAGGCAGAGAATCACAGTACAGAACAGTGGACATTCAAAAGGAATCATCAACAATTGATTTGCTTTGTGGAAAAGACGAATGAAAAATACGGATATTTTCAACGTTGATTTCTAACAATAAGACAGAGGAGAATACTGATGAAGCTGCGAAAGTAT